GACGTCATCTGGTGAAATTGATTGACAGTAAAGTTCCCAGCAGATGACAGTTAAGTACTTTTTTTGTGCGACACAGGATTTACTTATGAATTAATTGCCACAAGATGTCATTATGACTGCCGCTAAAAAGGCTCTTATATAAACCAGATAAATGCACTAATTATTATAGTTTAAAATGACAGCTCCACATTTACAGTGACCTCCACCCTGTCCTTTGGCTGGGCACTTTTGGAAACAACGCATGTAGCCTGAAAGAACTTGATATAGTCCAGAGAGGTAATTTCCACATTTCCTATAAATTTCCAGTAACTGTGAAGAAATCAACAGAAGTATTTTAAAGCACCATTAAGGTATTACGGCTGCTTAGCTCCTGGTTGTGGGATGAACTGCCTTGTGACAGTTTAAAGATGAACAATATATCATGAGCTACAGCCTAGTCCTGGGATTCTTGGCATAGGGAAACCTTGGTACCATGCGCACACAGCAGCCATTACAGCACCATTAGCTGTGGTGACGAGATGCATGTCAGACTAGTTTTGGCTTGCCAGGAAGTCCATCCTAGCCTGCAAGGTTATTTCACCCCCAAACCTCAATTTCCAGTATTGATGGCAGTGTGCCTTTGAAGACCAGTTGCTGGAAATCAAGAACAGGGAGAATGCTTTTGCACTCAAGGTCAACATGCAAGCTTCATTCTCCATAGCTGTCAACTTACAGATTTGAAAATAAGGGACCAGCAGCCTCGGAAATAAGGGATCAGCAGCCAAAATAAGGGATTTTCAGAACACAGGTATGTTCGACTTCTGAGCCCCTCCGAGCCAAAGGCAGAAAGCCCAGCCAGCAGCGAAACAAAGTCTCAAGCGGTGGTTCCCACAGCGCAGCAACCCGGCAAAGGGGATGCAGCAAGGAAAACCACCGTCACCTCTCCGCTGGGAAGCGCTGAGCAAAGGCGAGTCCCCAGGCAATGCGGCCGATTTGATCGGCAGAAAGCATGCAAGCTCCACCCCCCAGTCGTTTTAGACTCCTTATTGGGTGAGCAAAGCAGCCAAGTAACACAGTTGGAGCCTCCCTCCTCCCTGGCCGGCAGGGAGGGAGGGAGAGGAGCTGCTTCCTTTGAAACCTGGGAAATTTAAGGGACATCATCAATAAGGGACAGCAGCGGGACATGGCGCTGGGATAAGGGACTTTCCCACCAAATAAGGGACGGTTGACAGCTATGTCATTCTCATAGGCATCTAGTTGGTCACTGTGAGAACAGGATGCTGGACTAGATCTGGTCTGATCCAGCAGGGCTCTTTGTATGTTCAGACCGTGTGAGTCAGTTGCTCATCAAATATATAACGACCCTGATGTGTGGAGTGGACTGCACTGGGGAAATTGTGATTGTAAACCTAGACTCACTCACCTAGGAGCAAATCCCATTGAACTCAATGGGATTAACTGTAGAGTAAGAGATGTCTGGGGTTGCTGTTTGCAGAACACCGCAGGGCATGAAGATCAAGTCATGTGCTGTTCCTCCACCTGGATGGATCTGCTCAGGAAAGTGGGACCTGAATCAATTGTATTCAAGTTACAAGTAAGTTAGATTCCAACTAAATATATCAGGAAGAACTTTCTGACAGCAAGAACTGTTTGATAGTGGAACAGTCTCCCTCAGGAGGTGGTGAACTCTTGTTTCCTTGGAGATTTTTAAGCAGAGGTTGGATGGCCATCTGTCATGGATGCTTTGATTGAAATTCCTGAATTGCAGGGGGTTGAACTACCAGTAGATAATTTGAGATATCGGTCTGTAACAAGCAAAGTTTTGCCTTGGTTTATAATTTTCTGTGAAATTAGCAGGGCTTTCCCCCCAGCTGGAACTCACAGGAACTTGGTTCCGGCACCTCTCAGGTGGGTGCTATTGGAGGTGTTCATGGTGAGTTCCGGCACCTCTTTTATAGAAAAATAGCACTGGAAATTAGATTTGTCTGTCTGAACAAACTTGAATCAAAAATATGTAGTAGTGAGAAAGGCTCCTGCAGGCAAAATAAAGAATAGCAGCTAGTAAACTCAAGAGGGAGAACGAACGAGTAAGGGTTTGCATTGATATAATGAACAATGTTTGTCAAGACTAATCTGAAATCTGATATTGCTGCATAAGATTATAATCTATCAATAAATCAATAATAATAATAATAATAATAATAATAATAATAATAATAATAATACTTTATTTATGCCCCACCCATCTGGCTGGGTTTCCCCAGCCACTCTAGGCAGCTTCCAGAATATTAAAATACAATCTATCACATCATTTGCATTCCATCCTTCTTCCAAGAAACTCAAGGTGTTGTACATGGCATCCCCAGTCCAATTTTATCCTCACAACAGACCTGTAAGGTAGGTTTGACCAAGTGGGACTGACTGGGCCAATATCACACAGTGAGCTTTGTTGCTGAGGAGGAATTTGAACCCGTGTTTCCCAGATCCGAATCTAACACTTTTCCTCACTCAAGTCCCTATAATAAGAGCCTGCAATAGATACTGGGCATTAATGGATATTTGCCTGCTCTAATAAATATTGGCCTGTTTCTCTGCTTCATGTCCAGTAATAATAAATAAAACCACACCTGGAGTACCACAATTTAAGGATATTGACAAGCTGGAATATGTGCAAAGAAGGGTGACCAAGATGATCGAGCGACCAAGATGGAAACCAAGCCATAAGGGTATGTTTAGCCCGGAAAAGAAGAGACTGAGAGGTGTTATGATTGCCTTTTTGAAGTATCCAAGTATCCTGAGGGACGCGGGTGGCGCTGTGGGTTAAACCACAGAACCTAGGATTTGCCGATCAGAAGGTCAGCGGTTCGAATCCCCGCAATGGGGTAAGCTCCCGTTGCTTGGTCCCTGCTTCTGCCAACCTAGCAGTTTGAAAGCACGTCAAAGTGCAAGTAGATAAATAGGTACCACTCCGGCGGGAAGGTAAATGTGTTTCCGTGTGCTGCTCTGGTTCGCCAGAAGCGGCTTAGTCATGCTGGCCACATGACCCGCAAGCTGTATGCTGGCTCCCTCGGCAAATAAAGCGAGATGAGCGCCGCAACCCCAGAGTCGGTCACGACTGGACCTAATGGTCAGGGGTCCCTTTACCTAAAGGGCTGTCACGTGGAGGATGGAGGAAGCATGTTTTCTCCAGCTTCGGAGGCTAGAACCCAAACCAATGGATTCAAATTAAAAGAAAGGAGATTCCGACCAGGAAGAACTTTCTGACCATAAGAGCTGTTTGACAGCGAAATGGACTCCCTTGGAAGGTGGTGGACTCTCTTGCACTGGAAGTTTTTAAGCAGAGGCTAGATGGCCATTTGTCATGTAATTGAGATTCCTGCATTGCAGGGGTTGGACTAAATGACCTTTGGTTCCCCTTTCAACATTGAAATGCTATGATCGTTACAAGTCACCCTGAATTATGCTCAGTGCATACAGACATCACATCCTGGATACCATCCTTGCGCAAGACTTTGGTAATATGGCGCCCTGGGTGAGGACAAAGTGTAGTGCCCATCCCTTAATGATTCTTATTTACACAATAATATTTGGTACAGTGGTACCTCGGGTTAAGAACTTAATTCATTCTGATGGTCTGTTCTTAACCTGAAACTGTTCTTAACCTGAAGAACCACTTTAGCTAATGGGGCCTCCTGCTGTCGCTGTGCCACTGCTGCACGATTTCTGTTCTCATCCTGAAGCAAAGTTCTTAACCCGAGGTACTATTTCTGGGTTAGCGGAGTCTGTAACCTGAAGCGTATGTAACCCGAAGTGTATGTAACCCGAGGTACCACTGTATTATTATTTGGTACTTTGAGTAGGTAAAGGTAAAGGGACCCCTGATCATTAGGTCCAGTCGTGGCCGACTCTGGGGTTGCGGCGCTCATCACGCTTTATTGGCCGAGGGAGCTGGCGTACAGCTTCCGGGTCATGTGGCCAGCATGACTAAGCCACTTCTGGCGAACCAGAGCAGTGCACGGAAACGCCGTTTACCTTCCCGCCAGAGTGGTACCTATTGATCTACTTGCACTTTGATGTGCTTTCAAACTGCTAGGTTGGCAGGAGCAGGGACCGAGCAACGGGAGGTAACCCCGTCGTGGGGATTCGAACCGCCGACCTTCTGATCGGCAAGCCCAAGGATCTGTGGTTTATCCCACAGCGCTACCTGCGCCCCTGTAACCCGAGGTACCACTGTATAAATATAGGTATCATTATCATCAACAACATCATCAACCCCCACCGTTTGGGCAGCCCTCACTGCGCTGTGGGAGGCCTCCCAGAATTCCCCCCATGCCCCTTTGCTATGGGAATTCGCCCCATAACCCCACCAGTGTGATGGACCTTCTTTTAGAACTACAATGGTACCTTGGGTTAAGCACTTAATTCGTTCCGGAGGTCCGTTCTTAACCTGAAACAGTTCTTAACCTGAAGCACCACTTTAGCTAATGGGGCCTCCTGCTGCTGCTGCACCACCGGAGCACGATTTCTGTTCTCATCCTGAAGCAAAGTTCTTAACCCGAGGTACTATTTCTGGGTTAGCGGAGTCTGTAACCTGAAGTGTATGTAACCTGAAGCGTATGTAACCCGAGGTACCACTGTATTATTATTTGGTACTTTGTATAAATATAGGTATCATCATCCTCATCCCCCACCGTTTGGGCAGCCCTCACTGCGCTCTGGGAAGCCGCCCAGAATCCCCCCATGCCCCCTTGCTATGGGAATTCGCCCCATAATAAGATGGACCTTCTTTTAGAACTATTGACTGGGCGGGGTGAGGTTGTAAGGCGGGGGTTGGTGGGGGGGTGCGGATATGGGAAACTCCGATGGAGAGGATGGGTTCCTTGCCTCCGATTGCGCAGGGTTCGGGGGGTAGCCGGCGATTTCTTAAAACTCTCCTTTGGCTGCATTATTCATGAGACCAAAAAAGAAAGAAAGAAAAGCAGAAGAAGGTGGGGGGAGGATGAGGAGCTGGGGGTGGGGTGGGGAGAGGGAGGCCTCGGCGCTGATGTCAGTCCGGAGGAAGGAGCCTGAGCGCACAGCAGGATCCTGGGCGCTGCTTCCAGTGCTGCAGAGAGGGAGAGAGAGAGGGGGCAGCTTCAGGGTGCAGCATGCTGCCTGGCTCCCGTTCCAGCCTCTCCAGTAGCAGCGGCGGCGGCGGCGGCTGCATCGCTCGGGCCACGAGCGCAGCAGGGCCAAAGGGGGACCACGCGGCGGAGGCGGCGGCGGCCGAGGGCGCACGATGGCTGGCTGGCTGGGCAGCGGCTCTCTCTGGCTCCTGGCGCTGGCGTGCCTTCTGCAGCGCGCCCAGGTGAGGAAGCCGGTGCGGTGTCCCGCCATCTGCAGCTGCACCAAAGAGTCCATCATTTGCGTCGGAGCGGCGGCGGTGCCGCGGAGCCCCGGAGACATCAGCTCCTTGTAAGTCGAGCCAAGAAGGGTGATGGGTGGGTGGCTGGCGCGCAACGCGGCGCACGGATGGCACCAGACCTTCCCTTCTGGGGCGGCGCGTGTGCATGCTTTATTTGGGATTCCTGCATTGCAGGGGGTTGGGCTAGATGACCCTCGGGGGTCTCCCCCCCTTCCGACACTCACTCCGCGATTTTAGGATTCTGACGTTCAGAGGGTGCTAGAAAAAGCGCAGCACCAAACTTGCCCCCTCCGGCTGCTCCGCGCAAACAGTGCGCATGGGAAGGGAGGCGCCCGCCTGGCGTTTCCGGAGATGCCTGCGCGGTCGCGCAGTGCTGGCTCAGCCGGGGAGATGTTGTTTTAGGGCGAGCAGAAGATGCTGCAGCAGCAGGCAGTTCCAGAGATGACAAAAGACTAGAGAGGGGCGGATGATGCGGGAGAAAAGGCCCAGCCTATGAAACTCAAAGTATTGGGGAGAGGCAGCGAGTAAGTGGCCATGTTCTCACTTAGAGGGGAAGAAATGGTTTTCAGCTGGTCTTAACTATCTCGGAACAAACAGGATTCAGGGTCTTGGAAGTTGAGAGTGAGTTCACTGCCTTTGGTAATGTAGGACTTTTCAACTTGCCTCGCTTTAAAATCTGCTGGGCTTCAAAAGCCTTCAGTCAGCCTTCAATTCTGTTTCACTCACTGATTGCTTCTGTTCAGTCATATGCCATCTGTATCTACAGCTATAGCACAAAGGCTCAAATATATTACAGTGCATATATGTAATAAGTAGGAAAATAAATCCATAATATAAGGGGACAAAGAAAGCAGATCCCGATTCACTTTTCAGACAGAGGCAGTCAAATGCACACAATATTTTGGATTAATTGATAAATACGGTGAAAGGAGACCATAGAAAACTTCCGGAGGAGCAGGTTAAGAACTGTAAGGAAGGTCATGGAAAAGCTGTTAAGAAAGAGAGTCATAATGATGATGGTAATAATAACAAGAAAAAGTGTTGTAATTAGTTCCTATGGATTTTCCCTTGTATTTCCCCCCTCAGGAGCCTGGTAAATGGAACATTTTCTGAAATAAAAGAGAGAATGTTTTCACATTTGCCTTCCCTGCAGTTGCTGTAAGTATTAAATTTTTATTTATATATATATAAAAAGAGATGATCAAAGCTCTTGCCTGCGAAGAGGCATCCTGGGACTTTGAAATAACTGTTTCCAAATCACAGACTGAGACTCATGATTGGTGAACGTTAATTTCTAAAACCACGTAAAGAGCCGAGGAGTCATTGCTTTGAAAGGAAAGGAAAGGTTAGTGCAGAGTCCAAAATAAATTGACAGGCGATTGTAAAGCTTATTCTCAAATCCAGTTTCTTTTTTTTTTAGAGGTGCACATTACAAACACTTCTCTTGTTTGACATTCGATTGAAGGATTATGCTAAAATATTGGAAGGAAATTCTGCTCCAACAGCAATGCTACATTGTGGAGAAGCACCAAAAGAAATTGGATTCTTAAACACCCCCACCACAAGAAACCCCTTTTTAGTATACCTACCGGTACTTAACAGCTTCCTTCTTATATCTCTGCCATAGCAGTATAATTCCCTATTTGGTTCCTTCCATATCCAAGTTGGCTTGAGTATGCTTAGTTCCCACCACGCTTTCGAATCGCAATTCACATTGTTGTCTCAAACTCCCTGGGCCTTCCTTTCTTCTGAGAAAGAGCAGGTGCCTCCCAGGCTCTCAGTTGTGGGTGGAAAGGAACCAGGAGCCTGCTTGATGGCTTGGCAGTTGCCAAAATCCACACCCCACACTGTAATTTTATCTTGGTTTGGGAATTGTTGGTGAAGTTGACTAAACAGCAGCCGTGCTGTCTCTCCTGCCCACCCACTCCTAACAACCAATGCTGGTGAACCAGCCACAAAACTTGCATGGCCCACAGACTGGAAAACAGGTCATGTATATGCTTCCAATTCTCTAGATGACTCTCTTGGGAGCAATGCGGTGAACTGCCAAGCCATGCAATCAATGCCCTGTGTTACACAACAGTTAACAAAGGGATAGGCTGAGATTATTGTTGCGAACTGTGAAGATCAGCACCTTAACCTTCCTGTACGATACTATCCGATGCCCTTCAGGTTATAAGTAATTGTGGCTGACTTTCGTCTGACTTTACTGAAACTTTTGCAATCCTTATCCATTTTATGATTTGCGGTTGCTGTAATATTTGCACTCCTGTTTTGCGATAACTGTATTTTTGTGTGTGTTTAGCCAATAAAATGTAGAACTTTACAAAAAGAATCAGCACAGCGCAGGCTGCAAGCACATGCTCGTGACGCCATCAATTTGTGCTGACGTCAGTCGGCTTCTGGACAGACCTAGAAAGGTCTGCAAGCACCTACTGTAATCTGCTGAAGCCTTCTTATGAATTATAGTCCGTCTCCCCGTATATAGTGCCCAGTTCCACCCAAGTTGGAACTAGGAAATCCTGTCAAAATTTCAACTTTGGAAAGAATTCAATGGTCAGGGTAGAAATTAATGGTAACTGTGGAAAAGTGACAACAGTTTACCCTTAAGAGTTTGTTGGTTCCACAAGCACTTCTGTCCTAGCCTGTCCCTCTGTGGACTTTTGGTCTACACTTGCTTTACACCAGGAAGAGAGCTGGATTATACCCATCTGAAAATAAGGATGGCACCACCCATCTTCGCTTCCCTTTCCCTTGAAAGTGGAGAGAAGCCCCTAGAAATGGGTTTATGGCCTGAAAGGTGGGAGAGTCCCTGTAGATTTGCAGTGTAGGGACGCGGGTGGTGCTGTGGGTTAAACCACAGAGCCTAGGACTTGCTGATCAGAAGGTCGGCGGTTCGAATCCCCGCGACGGTGTGAGCTCCCGTTGCTCGGTCCCAGCTCCTGCCAACCTAGCAGTTCGAAAGCACATCAAAGTGCAAGTATATAAATAGGTACTGCTCCGGCGGGAAGGTAAACGGCGTTTCCGTGTGCTGCTCTGGTTCGCCAGAAGCGGCTTAGTCATGCTGGCCACATGACCCGGAAGCTGTACGCCGGCTCCCTCGGCCAATAAAGCGAGATGAGTGCCGCAACCCCAGAGTCAGCCATGACTGGACCTAATGGTCAGGGGTCCCCATTACCTTTACCTTACAGAGTTGTAGTGCAATTCTGTTCTTTTATGCATTTCTGCTGCACTGGGCTCACTAGAATGAGCTACTCTATTCTAGTAGTCATAGATTCTGCTCCTCTTATTCTGCTATCCAAGAGCACCTCTAACCCTCTTTTTTAATCCAATAGCGCCATGTCTTGCCACTCTGCTCTTCCAAGGTGGTCCTGGCTTCTTCTATCGAGGTTCTGAGAGCATTTTCCGTACAAATCATTATATCAACCTTCATATTAATATTTTCTATGGTTATTAAACGATGACTATATTTTGGCATTGAATTTTTTTGTGTACTGTTTTACTCAGCTCTCTTTTTAAACTATAAAACATTAAACGACACTATAGGAACCCAAGTCAGCAGAAATGCTAAATGAATGTTTGACAGTGATGTAGAACTGTGACTAATCTATCAATCAACCAACCAACCCGTTCAATGCATTCCATTTTGGCTTCCCAGCACTCTGCCACACCCCAGTGTGGTAAAGAAACAGAACCCAGGGTACAGCTGTGCAGACAGAAGGGGGAGGCAGAATACCCAGTGAGGTGGCCATAATCCATCATTCAGCTGAGTTGACCTCTCCTCTCCTCCAGCTGCCACCACAAGGCTACCTAAGGACCATCTTGCCCTGAAAGGGGGGTGGGTGGGAAGACAGAACAGCCTGGTGAGTTGCCCAAATTTTATCTCCTGGTGTTCCAGCTAAAGTGGCCTCTCCCCGAACCGCCAGCCCATGGCTACACAAAAAACATCTTGCCTAGGAGAGGAGAGATCTAACTATATCCTAAATAAATAAAATAAAATCCTATATTTAAAATACAGTCATACCTCCGGCTGAAGTAGCTTCGGGTTGAGCGTTTTCAGGTTGCGCTCCACGGCGACCCGGAAGTAATGGAACGCGTTACTTCCAGGTTTTGCCGCATGCGCAGATGCTCAAAATGACGTCACGCGCATGCGCAGAAGCGGCGAATTGCAACCCGCACAGATGTGGGTTGCATTCGCTTCAGGATGCGAACGGGGCTCTGGAACGGATCCCATTTGCATCCAGAGGTACCACTGTAAATCACTCATTCCTATGGGGAGAAGTAAATCACTGCACTTGATGACAACATTCTGGTGGGCCACCAACATCCCCAGTTCCTCTAATATTGAGGTGACCTAGCTATCACATACAAGGCACATCCTGGAAGGGAGCAAGGCTCCACTTTCTCCACTTCCTGCCATTCACAAAGTTGAAAGATTAAGGACAGGGAAAAGGAAGTAATTCTTCATGGAGCACAGAAGGCAGTGGTGGCCACCAAATCCTATGGTTTTAGAAGGGAATTGGACAAATTCATGGAGAATAAAGCTACCGGTGGCTACTAGCCAGAATGGCAGTATGCTTCTGAATACTAGTTGCTGGAAACCACAAGAGGGGAGCCTTTACTTTGAAAAAATTAGAGTGTTCAAAGCAGGCCGGTCACCGGAATACTCCAGCTAGGAATAATGGAATAGGACTCTGGTTCTATTTTGTTGGTTTTCGGAACTGGGGCCATGATTAAGAGGGACGGCCGGGGGCATTCGTATTGTGCCACTAGAGGTGAAATTCTTGGACCAGCGCAAGATGAACCAGAGCGAAAGCCTTTGCCAAGAATGTTTACCTTAATCAAGAATGAGAGTTGGAGGTTTGAAGACGATCAGATACCGTCGTAGTTCCGACCATAAACGATGCTGACTAGCGATCCGGTGGCGTTATTCCCATAACTTACCTTTGTTGATATCTACAGGGGCCTGGCTAAAGGAACTTTAAAGACTGAATCTTCCTTTTGGACACAATTTGATTGAGTTTTCTGTTTGTGGCTTCTGTAGCAGATCTTGTGCATAGCTCTCTCAATTTTTGGATTATTAATATAAGATTTAGAACGTAGAATGGTTTGGTAGCATTTTGTGTGCCGCTTATGTGCTGCTTACTTCATACTGGCCTTCCTGCTCATGGGCTTCCCACAGGTAGCTGGCTGGTCGCTGTGTGCTGGACTAGATGAAACATTGGCCTGGATCCAGCAGGCTCTTAGTTCTTATGTCCTACTACCTACAGAGTCGGGACGCAGGTGGCGCTGTGGGTTAAACCACAGAGCCTAGGACTTGCCGATCAGAAGGTTGGCGGTTCGAATCCCTGTGACGGGGTGAGCTCTCGTTGATCGGTCCCTGCTCCTGCCAACCTAGCTGTTCGAAAGCAGGTCAAAGTGCAAGTAGATAAATAGGTACCGCTCCGGCGGGAAGGTAAATGGCATTTCCGTGCGCTGCTCTGGTTCGCCAGAAGCGGCTTAGTCATGCTGGCCACATGACCCGGAAGCTGTACACCGGCTCCCTCGGCCAATAAAGCGAGATGAGTCCCACAACCCCAGAGTTGGTCACGACTGGACCTAATGGTCAGGGGTCCCTTTACCTTTTACTAACTACAGAGTCATATTTGATAACAAAGCAATGCGTGCTTAGTTGCACCAAAGCAGGGTGTGTGAGGAGAGTATTAAACGCTCACTGATGACTTGTTAATGGTTCTTTTTGTGCATTCTGAAGAAACTGACTAAGGGAAATTCAGCTTTGTCTAGCATTTCTTCACAGTGCTTTAAATTGTATGGTGGCCTTTTAAAAACACCCCCCTCTTAATGTTTGCATTCCATTTTTTAGACTGCTGAATTCTAACTCATTTACTATCATACGGGATGATGCCTTTGGGGGTCTGTTCCATCTCGAGTACTTGTAAGTTCCTTCTTTTGTTTAATGTAGTAAACTAAGATTTCTTAAATGGATGAAGCTGCTCTGATGATTTACCAGTGCACTGTCCCTGAAGGAAATGTTCTTTTCTCTAGATGACATTACATGTTGTGACTCATGCAGGGCAAGTGAATGTGTGTGAACGTTCTCATCTTTCTGCTTTCCACTGCAAGATATAATGTGCATACTAGGAACGAATACAATTCCCCAACTGGAGCTGCCTGGGCTCCAGAAACAGGGAGCTCTCATGCGTTTCTCCGCAGGAAATGTACATGAATTCCCATTTAGCACATGGCAACTTGCAGTGGAACGCTGACGTGCAATATTGCTTGCCTTTCTCTTTCTTCAGCACTTAACGTCTAATTATTTCCAGAGGGCTAGCTATGCTTGTCTGTTTCAGCAAAACCAACAGTCTTGCGGCACCTTCAAGTTTGCTAGTTTTTAAGGTGCCACACAGCTCTTTGTCGTTAAGCACCGTATAAGGTTTTGCACAAAACTGGAGAAGTTATAGCTTACTTTGAATGTGTATTTTGTGTTACGTTTCATGTGTTAAGGGTCAGGACTCCACGCACTGCAAAGGGGCTTTGAATTGTCTTTTCACAAACAAGCCCCCTACCACCAATGCCGCATTGGAAACTGCTTTTAAAACTGAAGGGACTTTCAAAAGCAGATTGTGGGTGGGCATGGGGTGGGGTGTCTGCTGTTGTTTTAAAAAAATCCCACTGATCATGTTCAAGTCCTTTGGTGTGCCTGAAGTAGCTCTTTGGATCCCAGCCAACGTGATAATGATTAAGAGCTGGTGATAAATTGGGCACCTCATTCCAGCTGAGACGCATTGTGTGTGGACTCAATCGGAGAGCATTTAAAGCTCACGAAATGTGCTGAATTACTGTGAGTTCACTGTGAGTTTTCACAGAAAAATGGGAAATTTGACCTAAACAAATATATGTTTTCTAAGCGCAGTCATAAAGGGACGCGGGTGGCGCTGTGGTCTAAACCACTGAGCCTCTTGGGCTTGCCGATCAGAAGGTTGGCGGTTTGAATCCCCGCGACGGGGTGAGCTCCCGTTGCTCGGTCCCTGCTCCTGCCAACCTAGCAGTTCGAAAGCACGTCAAAGTGCAAGTAAATAAATAGGTACCTCTCCGGCGGGAAGGTAAACGGTGTTTCCGTGCGCTGCTCTGGTTTGCCAGAAGCAGCTTAGTCATGCTGGCTACATGACCCGGAAGCTGTCTGCGGACAAACGCCGGCTCCCTCGGCCTTTAGAACGAGATGAGTGCTGCAACCCCAGAGTCGTCTGCGACTGGACCTAACGGTCAGGGGTCCCTTTACCTTTACCTAAGTGCAATCATGTGCTCTGTTGCATCCCAATTTATGCATTTCCCCCTCTGTGCCATAGAATTAACGTAAAAAATAACAAATAAGGATGACAGAAATAGCTACAGCCCTTAATATTACCACTGTATGGTACTGTTGCTGTTTACATTAAAAAAATGGAAACACAGCCTCAGCTATGGTGTGTCATCAGCCAATACAGTGGTGCCTTGGGTTACAGATGCTTCAGGTTACATACGCTTCAGGTTACAGACTCCGCTAACCCAGAAATAGTGCTTCAGGTTAAGAACTTTGCTTCAGGATAAGAACAGAAATCTTGCTCCAGCGGCGCGGCAGCAGCAGGAGGCCCCATTAGCTAAAGTGGTGCTTCAGGTTAAGAACAGTTTCAGGTTAAGAACAGACATCCGGAACGAATTAAGTACTTAACCCGAGGTACCACTGCACTTACTTCAGTGGCCTCTTAGAACCAGGTGCCTTCCGATTAAACAAAAAAGTTGACTCCCCACTTTCTCACTGACCTCCTTTTCATTTTATATCCTAACCACAAAATCAGGAAGCTCACATGCATATATCTCATGCTGCTTCAGAAGGCCAATCCATATTACATATGGTTTTCATTAAGTTAATGCCACGATGACAGGGCAGGGTTACAGATTGGGTGCAAAAAGCAAATGTATTCCCTCTGCCCAAATTTGATTTATACTGTTCCTCCATAATAAAGATCCAACCCAATTCATATTTTAAATGTGCCAAAACCTTGGTTTTATGCCGAATAGTCTTAATTTGCTACTGGGTTGTTGTTGTTTTTTATAAGAAATCAATTTTAGTGACGTAGCCTACTTTAGCTGTGCTTTACACATTTTATGAACTTCTTTGTACAGTGGTACCTCGCAAGACGAATGCCTCGCAAGACAGAAAACTTGCAGGACGAAAGGGTTTTTTGTTTTTTGAGCTGCTTCGCAAGACGATTTTCCCTATGGGCTTGCTTCGCAAGACGGAAACGTCTTGCAAGTTTGTTTCCTTTTTCTTAACACCGTTAATACAGTTGCGACTTAACTTCGAGGCGCAACTCATAGCATGCGGTGTGGTAGCCTTTTTTGAGGTTTTTGAAGACTTTGGTGATTTTTGAAGCTTTTCCAAAACTTTTCCGACACCGTGCTTCGCAAGACGAAAAAAATCGCAAGACGACAAAACTCGCGGAACGAATTAATTTCGTCTTGCGAGGCACCACTGTATGGTGCTTTGAGTTGTTTATGTAATAATAAAAAGTAAGGTATAAATGTTGAAATCAGTAAGTCCTTTTCAGTCCTACTGATATCAGTAGGAGAGATAATCACATGGTTTAATATCTCCCATTGGAACCAGCGGGACTTAAAAGTTCTGGATCATGAATTTCCTTTTATCTTGGTTCTAGAATTTTGCAGCTTCAACTCAGGAGAGTGGGGTTACAAATGGGTGAAGAAATATAACAGCACAAGCCTATGCATGCTTATTCAGAAGTATTTCCCATAATATTCACTGGGGGTTACTCTCTAGGTGTCCACAGGAGTACAGCTGGGAAGGCAATGTATTCATTATGCTGCGAGCTCCTGGTTGCCTTCACTTCTTTTGCACCTAGTGCCTCTTAAAAAATTATGTTTACAGTTTTCTTCCAAAAACAAAAATGTGGCCAAATGCTTGTGCATTGAAACAACACCAGTCCACATGGTGATGTTGTGAACGTAGCCCAAGTGGCAAAGAGTTAGCCACTGTCTAGTTGGGGCTATTTAAGCAGTATATATGTGTGGGACGCGGGTGGTGCTGTGGGTTAAACCGCAGAGCCTAGGACTTGCCGATCAGAAGGTCGGCAGTTCGAATCCCCGCGACGGGGTGAGCTCCCGTTGCTCGGTCCCTGCTCCTGCCAACCTAGCAATTCGAAAGCACGTAAAAGTGCAAGTAGATAAATAAGTACCACTCCGGCAGGAAGGTAAACGGCGTTTCCGTGCGCTGCTCTGGTTCGCCAGAAGCAGCTTAGTCATGCTGGCCACATGACACGGAAGCTGTACGCTGCTCCCTCGGCCAGTAAAGCGAGATGAGCACCGCAACCCCAGAGTTGGCCACGACTGGACCTAATGGTCAGGGGTCCCTTTACCTTTACTTATGTGTGACTCACATGACAAGCAATAAAAGCATATTGCAGCCTGGCCCAAAGTCTAGCAAGAGTCCTGCTGCTCACACAAACCTCCTGAGGGTGACTCTCGTGTGTGCACTGAAATGAGCAGTTTGGTTAATGGAGGCTTTTGTTAATCAGACCACAGCAGACACTTAAGCCAAGAAAAGGGGAATAATTGGTGCTATTTTTACAGAAAAAGAGGTGCCAGAACTCACGGCAAAGGCACCGACATGAGAGGTGCCGGAATAGAGTTCCAGCGAGTTCTGTCTGGGGGAAAAGCTCTGAGAATAATGCTGTTCACCTTTCATTCAGTATTTGCTTTTGTTCTTCTACCAGACGGACTGAAACCTTCTCTTTAACATGTGTCTTTCGATCAAATCTTTCTGCATAGATTTATTGAAGGAAACAAGGTAGAAACCATTTCAAGAAACGCATTTCGTGGCCTTCGAGATTTGACACACCTGTAAGTCTTTTAATGCTACTCTGAATTATTTTATATCTTGCCCCAAACTTGCTTTTCCAGTACCTGCACTGTAGGTACAGCTATGGTATATTTCTCACTTCACTGTGTAAGCCGCAGTGGGCTATGCAAAAATGTGAAACAAGAAATGTTCTAGCCCTCATTGTTGGATAAAGTCATTTTTATTTTTTTGTTAAGACTAAAGAATCAAATGAACCTAGAATAGGTGGTAGGAGGCAATGTATTCTGTGTTCTTCATGTGTTCTACAAGACACTTAGATTGCAATCACCTCATGGTTTACATATGAAGAGAAACCATGGCTGTCAACGTTTCCCTTTTTTTAAGGGAAATTCCCTTATTCCGAATAGGATTCCTCGCAAGAAAAGGGAAAAGTTGACAGCTATGAAGAGAAACACATTGTGTGGAGTCAATTTTAGGGTTGTTTCTTTCATGGTAAATAATTATTAGTGTCAGAAGACAATGTCTGAATATTTCATGGCTGGTTCAAAATATAAACTATTTTGTAATGTGGGGAGTAAACTTGTCAGATTTTGTAAGAGTCCCAGATAAGCCTGGCATTTAGCAACAGACATGATTAGGCATCATCTATGGGACGCGGGTGGCGCTGTGGGTAAAAGCTCAGTGCCTAGGACTTGCTGATCGTAAGGTCGGCAGTTCAAATCCCCGCGGCGGGGTGAGCTCCCGCCGTTCGGTCCCAGCTCCTGCCCACCTAGCAGTTCGAAAGCACCCCTAAGTGCAAGTAGATAAATAGGGACCGCTTCCTAGCGGGAAGGTAAACGGCATTTCCGTGTGCGGCACTGGTGCTGGCTCACCAGCTGCAGCTTCGTCACGCTGGCCACGTGACCCGGAAGTGTCTTCGGACAGCGCCGGCTCCCGGCCTCTTGAGCGAGATGAGCGTGCAACCCTAGAGTCGGACACGACTGGCCCTGACAGGCAGGGGTACCTTTACCTTTATGATTAGGCATCAGCTGGGGGCTCTGCACTGGTCAAGAGGGTCAGGTCAGGGGTCTCCGACTCACCAACCCAGAACACCAGAAATTGCAAATCAACATGATAATTTTACATAGCCTTATCTGCATGTTCCAACATATGCACAAGGCAAAATGTATGTCTAATTACTTGCCCTCCTCTTCATTTCTGGACCCAATGAGAAGCAGGAAGAGCCATAATGGCTGCTCAGGGGCTTAATGAGGCAGCCAGTGAGCATTTCCTGTTAAAAGCAGGAAGAACTTGTTCCTAAAGTTGATTGTGTGAGGGAGGCTGGGCATGTGGCCTAGAAGGAGCGAATGCAAATTCAGCGGGCTCATTACTGTACTTAAAGTATGTAATTCTACATGCAACCTTTGTAGGTGTACTTTCTTCATCCAAAGCCACAAAAACAGAACGAAATCTGTTTGATGGCACCTTGAAACTAGTTTTTGCAGAGCTTGTCATTACAAACTTATAAACAAGAGCCGTGACTTTCTATTCTCATGAATTAATTCAGGAGTGTTTAGGTTTCCATTAACGTTCAAGGGTTTTACGTAATTCATTCATAATCCTATTAGTCATTGTCAACATTGGGAATTGGGCATCATCCAACGGTTAACATTAGCTAAGTGCTGCTCTATTTAGTGATTATCATCTCTTCAACTATTTTAACACCTAACTTTACTTTTTCCAGTTCTTTGGCCAATAACCAGATTAAAGCTTTGCCAAGGGATGTCTTCAGTGATTTAGATTCTCTGATTGAACTGTAAGTAAAGCCAACCAAACCATTTGTGGTGTTGTTATTGCAAGCCTGTCCTTGTGTGGGTTTCTAAACTCCGAGTTTGGAATTTGGAATATTGTTTGTAGTTTGAACCGATTCTGAAAACAAATACATCAACTGGCACTTGCTTTCTGGTAGCCTGATTCCAGATTGCCAAGTGAAATATTTTTCAATACCTTTTTGCTAATGATCTCACGATAGCAATAGTCATGGTAATTAATTCTTCTGCATGGGTGCTTTATCTAACATTTGGATCCATGTGACCACCCACTTTTAAATTATATATTGCTAAGTAAATATATATGTTCTCAAGTAACATGTACATCACTTGAGTTGCCATCTCTCAATTATTCAACACTTGGTGACTGAAAGCTGAATATATGAAATGACCCCACAAAAGAATGTGCCCTTATCCGACACAAAGAAAGGTTTGCAAACTGGGGGCATTTGCACATTTTACCAAACTTTTTCAGATCTCACTTAGAACTACAGCCCATTGACAGCATTTCCAGTGTACCTCTGGGCAAATCTGATGTTAAATTGAATTACTTTGTTACTTTCCTCCATATTTCTTTTAAACCAAAAGCAGTACAGTGGTACCTCGGGTTAAGTACTTAATTCGTTCCGGAGGTCCGTACTTAACCTGAAACTGTTCTTAACCTGAAGCACCACTTTGGCTAATGGGGCCTCCTGCTGCCGCCGCGCCGCCGGAGCACGATTTCTGTTCTCATCCTGATGCAAAGTTCTTAACCCGAGGTACTATTTCTGGGTTAGCGGAGTCTGTAACCAGAAGCGTATGTAACCCGAGGTACCACTGTATTGACAAGCTGCCACTCAGGACTGAAGAAAGGCATGTAGAGATAGGCTGCTTAACTCTTGCCTTCATGATATCTTTCAACTCAAAATTGCCCACCTTGCAAGGGGAAAGATATGGAGATCCTTCATCTTTTCACCCAAGCGTGGGAAATTAGCTGGGCGAGTATGTGGACAAAACGCAGGAATGGAAAGGGTTTAGCAGCCCCCTTCCCCTTCCCCCTCCAGCTGATCTTCAGTTCCCCATTCCAGTCTCTGGGAAAAACAAGTAAGGAAGGAAGGTTGGAAAAGAGGCCCACAGAAGTCTAGTATAGTTGACTGACTTGGTTTCGAAAAAGTATAAGTGAATCAGGGATGAAATCCTCTGTTTCCAGTGTCACACCAGTCACAATGCCCTAGTTTAAGCGCTTATTCAACAGTGCATTTTTGTGAAAGTGCAGATATACCAAAAGCCGCATTCGGCAGTAACCTTTTAGAGATCTACTTGGGGAGAGGCTCTGTTCCAAAATTTTAAATGTACTCAAAGGTTTCTTTGCGTGGTCTAGGGTTTTTTTTAATGTCGACAGAAATGCTTGTGATATTTCGTGGTTTATGCGAAAACAGCTGACATGATGGGACGGGGAAGAGCGATGGTGGAGGCTGGGGCTCTGCGGGTGCCCCGCCCTGATAACCGCTCCTGGGTCTCTGCCACCTAATATTACCAAAAATCATAACACAGGAGGAAATAAATAAATGACTCTCCCATACAGGAAATCTATATTGCATTAACAGTGGTACCTCGGGTTACATACGCTTCAGGTTACAGACTCCGCTAACCCAGAAATAGTGCTTCAGGTTAAGAACTTTGCTTCAGGATGAGAACAGAAATCATGCTCTGGTGGCGCAGCGGCAGCAGGAGGCCCCATTAGCTAAAGTGGTGCTTCAGGTTAAGAACAGTTTCAGGTTAAGAACGGACCTCCAGAACGAATTAAGTACTTAACCCGAGGTACCACTGTATTACCATAAATCATAACACAGGAGGAAATAAATAAATGACTCTCCCATACCGGAAATCTATATTGCATTTACAGTGGTACCTCGGGTTACAGATGCTTCAGGTTACAGACGCTTCAGGTTACAGAATCCGCTAATCCAGAAATAGTACCTCGGGTTAAGAATTTTACCTCAGGATGAGAACAGAAATCACGCGGTGGTGGTGCAACAGCAGTGGAAGGCCCCATTAGCTAAAGTGGTACCTCAGGTTAAGAACAGTTTCAGGTTAAGAACGGACCTCCAGAACGAATTAAGTTCTTAACCCGAGGTCCCACTGTACAGTGCTGCCACGCTGCCAAAGCACGATTTCTGTTCTCATCCTGAAGCAAAGTTCTTAACCTGAAGCACTATTTCTGGGTTAGCAGAGTCTGTAACCTGAAGCATATGTAACCCGAGGTACCACTGTACTATTTAGATAGATAGATGATAGATAGATAGATAGATAGATAGATAGATAGATGATAGATAGATAGATAGATGATAGATAGATAGATAGATAGATAGATAGATAGATAGATAGAGATAGATAGATAGATAGATATAGATAGATAGATAGATAGATAGATAGATAGATAGAGTGCCTTTTGCACAGGGCAACTTGCATGCTGTCAATCATCCCGCCCACATTTTACATTTACCACAACCCTGTGAGGTAGCTGACGCTGAGAAAGTTACTTGTTCAAGGTTACCTATATAAGAGTTCATCAGAGGAAGTGGATAATAAAAATATGGTAACCTTCAGCTACCAGTATAATAATCCTTGGAAAGTATTATATTAGATCTCATAAATAATGGGAAACGATTGTTCCAACAAATTAATAAGCGTGTTCTTTAGGTTATGCACAATATACTTTGTGACAGCTAGTATTTACAGATATATTTACAGCACAGAGTTATCTCAACCAATTTGCAGCATGTTACAACCTAATATGTATTTCACCTATACAGCCTCCATTCATTTCAACATTACCACCTCCCCACCCCAAGTAGAAAGCAGGGTTTGTGGGCTGTCAACTTTTTGACCAGAATCAGTTTTGAAGCGTTCTAATGTTCTTTGAGTTAAATATTACAAGTAACTTGAAGAAATACTTGACTGTTGGCTCAATAGCAACCTTTTCAAATCTGCTTATTTTTTTATGTGTCCTTTTAGAGATTTAAGGGGAAATAAGTTTGAATGTGACTGCAAAGCCAAGTGGTTGTTTTTGTGGTTAAAGATGACCAATTCCACTGTTTCTGATGTCCTGTGTGTTGGTCCAGCCGAATTTCAGGACAAGAAGTTAAATGATGCCTCGAGTTTTGATGACGAATGCACCACTACAGGTATATTTCATAGCAAAGGAATAATCAGAAGTCTGAGCTATGCAAGTCCACGAACCAAGAACGCTGATAAGGTGTTTTCCCAGACTGCTGTTCTGCTAGCATTGACACAAATGTCCTATTTTTAATTGTCCCAGTTTATTATTTACATGGCAAGTGATGACAGATTAGCTAAAAAGCTAATCCTTATTTCGCAAAAATCAACTCCTTTTCTGTATAAAATGTTCTCCTTCTACCCAATTCTTAATCTTCTCCTACTTCCCTGCTTCCTGGCACCTTCTGTTCTGTTGTTTTTCTGAAACACTTACTAGTAAGGGTAAGCCTTACTTCTGATTAAACATACGTGGTCTTGTTAGAATGGATTTGTCTTCCTGGATCTGCTCAGACAAAGGAAGGTAAGACAAGACTAATGGTAGAATTAAAGGTTATGGACAACATGGCTCTGTTGGCAAAAACCGTGATCTAGTGTCTCATTCCCAGTAGCATGTAGTGACACGATTACCCTGTGTCGTCACTTCACCACAACTGTATATTTTCCCTCTCTTGCTAGTGGCAGCTAATGTAGAGAAGTGGAGTGGGGAAACAGTTTAGGGACCGCATGCTGTGCGATGCGTCTCGCTCAGGCCACAGGGGAGAACTAAATATAGACAGAGATATTTTCAACACCAACCCCGGGTCCTTCTGTCACATCTAGTTCGACTTTAAGTTCTCCGTTTTGCTAGTATGAACCTGGATTCAAAGAATGGGCAGCTTTTTCTCCCTGCATGTGAAGTCAAAGCTTCAAGTGCCATTTAATACATAATAATAATAATAATAATAATAATAATAATAATAATAATGGGATACGGGTGGCGCTGTGGGTTAAACCACAGAGCCTAGGACTTGCCGATCAGAAGGTCGGCAGTTCGAACCCCCGCGATGGGGTGAGCACCCGTTGCTCAGTCCCAGCTCCTGCCAACCTAGCAGTTTAAAAGCACGAAGTGCAAGTAGATAAATAGGTACCGCTCCGGTGGGAAGGTAAACGGCATTTCCGTACGCCAGAAGCGGCTTAGTCATGCTGGCCACATGACCTGGAAGCTGTGCGCCGGCTCCCTCGGCCAAAAAAGCGAGATGAGCGCTGCAACCCCAGAGTCGGTCACGACTGGACCTAATGGTCAGGGGTCCCTTTACTACTACTACTAATAATAATTTATTTGTACCCCACCCATCTCCCATTGTACACCAGCTCCCTCGGCCAATAGAAGAGAAGAAGAAGAGTTTGGATTTGATATCCCGCTTTATCACTACCCGAAGGAGTCTCAAAGCAGCTAACATTCTCCTTTCCCTTCCTCCCCCACAACAAACACTCTGTGAGGTGAGTGGGGCTGAGAGACTTCAGAGAAGTGTGACTGGCCCAAGGTCACCCAGCAGCTGCAAGTGGAGGAGCGGAGACGCGAACCCGGTTCCCCAGATTACGAGACTACCGCTCTTAACCACTACACCACACTGGCACTGGCAATAAAGCGAGATGAGGGCCGCAACCCCAGAGTCGGCCACGACTGGACCTAATGGTCAGGGGTCCCTTTACCTTTACTACTACTACTAATAATAATTTATTTGTACCCCACCCATCTGGCTGGGTTTCCCCAGCCACTCTGGGCAGCTTCCAACAAAAGATTAAAAATACATTAAAACTTCAGTGATTAAAAACTTCCCTAAACAGGGCTGCCTTCAGATGTCTTCTAAATGTCAGGTAGTTGTTTAACTCTTTGATTGTGTGCAGCAGGCACACAAACCCACAAGAACTCCTGAGTGTGGGGATCCTCCTCTCTTTCACATGCATGCATGTCTCTTTTAATATTCTGATATCAGCAATAGTAGAATAGCAGAGACATCACCTTGCCAACAAAGGTCTGTATAATTAAAGCTATGGTTTTCCCAGTAGTGATGTATGGAAGTGAGAGCTGGACCATAAAGAAGGCTGATCACCGAAGAATTGATGCTTTTGAATTATGGTGCTGGAGGAGACTCTTGAGAGTCCCATGGACTGCAAGAAGATCAAACGTCTCCATTCTTAAGGAAATCAGCCCTGAGTGCTCACTGGAAGGACAGATCCTGAAGCTGAGGCTCCAATACTTTGGCCACCTCATGAGAAGAGAAGACTCCCTGGAAAAGACCCTGATGTTTGGAAAGATGGAGGGCACAAGGGGAAGGGGATGACAGAGGATGAGATGGTTGGACAGTGTTCTCGAAGCTACAAACATGAGTTTGACCAAACTGCGGGAGGCAGTGGAAGACAGGAGTGCCTGGCGTGTTCTGGTCCATGGGGTCACGAAGTGTCAGACATGACTAAACAACTAAACAACAAAGAATAGCGGCATCCCCCCCCCATAGAATAGCAGGAGAAGGAAATTCTTGGCAAGTCATTCACATACCTTGGACATCACAAAACTCTCCCTTCCCCCCATTTGTTCAGGTTTCATAATGGCAAAGGGCTTTGTGCTCTCCAGCGTTACAAGAGCAGCCTGTCAGAGCTGAGAAATCTTGTTTAGGGGGCGATATAAAAGTAGATTAGTCTTCCTATAAACTCCCAAGACAAAATGCGAAATGCAAGTAAGGAGGCAGGAAGATTTAAGTGCTCAGTGGGAAATCTTAAGAGCGCCAGAAAATGTACCAAAAGTAAAGACTGAAATAAACTGACATCAAAATGAGAAAGGATTGAAATTTCCCTGGAGTGTATGAAGAAAAAGTGTCTATGCATAGGCAAAACCTGTTGCTATTGGTATGTCTTTACTTTTTGTAGAGGACCATGCTTTGTTGTTGTTGTTTGGTTGTTTAGTCATGTCCGACTCTTCATGACCCCATGGACCAGAGCACCCCAGGCACTCCTGTCTTCCACTGCCTCCCGCAGTTTGGTCCAACTCATGCTGGTAGCTTCGAGAACACTATCCAACCATCTCGTCCTCTGTCGTCCCCTTCTCCTTGTGCCCTCCATCTTTCCCAACATCAGGGTCTTTTCCAGGGAGTCTTCTCTTTTCATGAGGTGGCCAAAGTATTGGAGCCTCAGGTTCAGGATCTGTCCTTCCAGTGAGCACTCAGGGCTGATTTCCTTCAGAATGGATCGGTTTGATCTTCTTGCAGTCCATGGGACTCTCAAGAGTCTCCTCCAGCACCATAATTCAAAAGCATCCATTCTTCGGCGATCAGCCTTCTTTACGGTCCAGCTCTCACTTCCATACATCACTACTGGGAAAACCATAGCTTTAACTATATGGGCCTTTATTGGCAAGGTGATGTCTCTGCTTTTTAAGGACCATGCTTAGGCCATGCAATTACTATCAGTGGTGTATCAGCAATGCTAAACTAACTGTTGCATGTTTAGTAGAGTTATAGCTTCCGTCACTTACTTCTCCAGAAGTGTGTAGTGATTGTTTTGAGTTCAGTGGGTGATGTGCATAAATACTGGTGACTGTTAGATTTCACATGACGGTGTGAAGGTTCTTTACTAACAGGGGTCTTCTGCATTGACTGGTCAACATGCCTAGTCTTCCAAGTGCTGTTGAGGTGTATGTACAGGTAGACAATGTCAACCCGAAAGTATGTATAATGGTATGTCAACGTAAATAGGAGATTGGCCCTGGCTGTTGCGCAGAACTGACACAAATGCTTTTGCTTATTCGACGAACCACGTTTGAAACATTTCTGATACTTTCACATTCTCTAGCATTTGCTGACCGTTATCTTCACTCACCAGACAATGTGTAAAATTCCCTGTTGATGCTGTCGGTTGGTGCACATTCTCCTAGTGCCTCCATGTGAATGCGCACAATCACCTGTGTTTATATGCATTCGCCAGTCAATTCATTGATGCTGCATACCTAGTTTGAGGCCGCAGTTAAGATCATATTCTGTGAGTTGCGATTCTTTGGTTCAAAACCTGCCTCAACCATGTGGGATGTCTTTAAGCAAGTAACTATCTCTCACCCAAGGGGCGCGGGTGGCGCTGTGGGTTAAACCACAGAGCCTAGGGCTTGCCGATCAGAAGGTTGGCGGTTCGAATCCCCGCAATGGGGTGAGCTCTCGTTGCTCAATCCTAGCTACTGCCAACCTAGCAGTTCAAAAGCATGTCAAAGTGCAAGTAGATACATAGGTACTGCTCCGGCGGGAAGGTAAACAGCGTTTCTGTGCGCTGCTCTGGTTCGCCAGAAGTGGCTTAGTCGTGCCGGCCACATGACCCGGAAGCTGTACGCCGGCTCCCTCGGCCAATAAAGCGAGATGAGCGCTGTAACCCCAGAGTCGGTCATGACTGGACCTAATGGTCAGGGGTCCCTTTACCTTTACCTCTCACCACCACTACTGTTCATGGGCATAATATATTGGCCTACTATGCTGTAAGGATTATGGAAAATGTGGGGAAAGTGGTATATAAATACTAAAAAAAAAGATATTGTTTATATTTACTCCATGTATTGTAACCTGTAAATATCACACAGCAAACTTCAGGCTGGTGGCCTGTAGTCTTTGGTGGGTTGAAACTTGCATAGTAACTGATCAAAGGCTTTTTGAACATGGCAGTCAGAGGAGCATCATCCAGCCACACAGTTGTTACTTCAACTGTTCAACAGCGACACATGAGAGTGTTGGATAAAATCAGCAAAATGTGTTCTAGTTTTTAAAACAACTGCAGGAGAAGGAAAATGCTGAGAAAGCAAAGCAATTCTATTAGTGAAGGAACAATCTGACGACCCACCTCTAGAAAGGAAATGCATTTTTTAATAGAGTATTCCAGCAGTGTGAAGTGAAATTCTTTAGAATCCATACTGTGAAACAAATTGCTGGGATGCCCACCTTTGCTACTGACTTCTGTCATTTCAGAGCAAACTGGATACATCATTTAAGACTTTCCTTTTCAGTCCCCCCCCAAAGGGTAGAATCACCTGTATAAATTAGTTAATTCAAAATTTCATAGCTTTAAGACTTACAAGATACTGTAGGTATCAGAAACCAGAAGAGACATGGAGGATATAGTCACAGAAAGGCACAGTGTGTGGAAACATGTGTTTTTTAGCACATAATATATCATTGGAGTTAAGACCGAAATTGTTAAGTTGTGGATGAACATATCAGACGACACAGTGATTCTTCAAACAGCTCTTGTTTATTCACAGGCCAGGACAGAACTGAACTGAAGGGTTCAGTCAGCCTGCTTATATAGAGCTCCAGTACAACGTAACTCTAACAATTTTCTAAAACTATCCAATCACAGAACGTCACTTGTGATCCCTTATTTGCATAACTATCTACAGTATCCCCCTGCTGGCCCAGGGTGAGAACTTCAGTACATAACAGAAATTATGTAGGACAATGTCAGACCCATGTCTTTAACTGTGCAGGTCTGCTTCTGATCAGGTGAAAGTGACTTCAAGTGCAAAAAGGAGCACAATGGGGGTTTAAATTCATAGTTCATTCTCCTGTCTTCTCCCTTGAAGATTGTTCCCCAAAGTAATTTTGCCAAGCCAGGGTTTTCCAGAGAGAAATCAGCATAACGCGTCTGTTTTCTTTATGTTTTCTGCCAAGTTCAATTGTAACGTTTTTGTTGTTTTTAATTACAAACATTTATTTTCAGATTTTGTGGTTCATCAGATTTTACCCTACCAGTCAGTTTCAGTGGACACATATCACTCAAACAATGATGTTTATGTCGCCATTGCCCAGCCCAGCATGGAAAATTGCATGGTGCTAGAATGGGATCACATTGAGAAGAACTTCAGGAGTTATGACAACATTACTGGTAAAAATGAACACACAATTCTTATTTGTTATATTACTTAATTGATTATTAGTGTGTTTTGAATAGGTCTTTTTTTAAAAAGTATCCGTGTATCAGGGAAAAAATGCGTATTGAAAAGAATATCTCTTGCTGATCTCTGCTGAATTTAGCTTGGATCCACTGAAAAATAAAAAAAAAAGTTTAGTCTAGTTCACTAAAACAATGGTTATCATCATGATGGATAGAATATGAGTTCATATATTGCAGAATCCTCAGAGGGTCACAAGATGCCACACTCTAGTTTGACCAAGAAATGGAATGCAAAGCACAGCTATGCAGCAATAAGTAGACTTGATTCTTCAGTATGGAGTAGAATAACACTATGGGCCGAAGTAGATGAAATATTAGAGATCAAATCTCTTTTAATTCTTAAAAAAACAAAAAGCAACCCTCAACATCAGAGGTGGGGTGTGTGTGTTAAATTCAAACCTTGGAACTTAGATAGGGGGTATTAACCTTCTTGCCATACTTGTCCTCAATATAGGGGGGGCGGGGCTTCCAGACTCACTATTTTGGGGTGGGATTCAATCATAAACTGGCAAATTCAGGGTATGCAATTATAGTTGATTGGCATTTTTATGCAACAACCCAGCTTGACCAAAATACTGGATATATATATTTTTGCTATAAAGGAAGTGAGACAGAGATACACTGGACAGTGTGGAATAAGACTTGCTTTGACACAATGTCATCTGACCTCCCCATAAGCAAATTAGAATGAATGCTCATCAGATAGCCCATCAGATGTAATCTAATCTCCCTGCAATTAGAGGTGTCTTAGAGAGACAGCCCCAATATTGTTGTTTGGCCCTGCCCAGATCAACCAAGCATTCTTTGCCCCCTCTTATCTTGAGTCCTCTTCCTGAAGGCTTGAGCTGGGTGTTTTTTGGTCTCCAACCAAATCTTCCATGTTCCCTCATACAAACACTTTGCTCGCACCTGTGAGGAGATGAGGCAAGAGCAGCAACAAAATTATTGCTTAGAATTGTAGAGTTGGAAGGGACCTTGAGGATCTGTGCAGGTCCTGGGGGGGGGGCGGGGGGTTACCGTGCGGCGTGGTCCGTGTCCGGTCCGAGGCTGAAGCGGGGTCCAAGGCAGGGAGTCGGGTGTGGTCAGGAAGTCTGGCAGAAAGCAGGACAGGGTGCCAGCAGGAACAGGTAACCAACGATGTTGCTCCCGCAACCTGGGACTGGGCTGACTGGCCTTTATCTCCTCTGAGGCATAGGGCAGTCCCGGTCCACAGGTGACTCGCCTCTCCTGGCCTGGAGGCGAGCACTCCTCCTGCAAGAACTTAGTTCCCTCCGCCTCTCTGCCCTGAGCCTCTGCAGCTCAGGAGAGGCTGGAGGGTTACTGGACCCAGAGGCAACCTCACCTTCCCCTGACAGGGCTGGGAGAGGAGCACCTGCAGGCAATGGGTCCTCGATCACCTCCGGAGCCAGAGTGGATTCAGCTGGTGTCTGCTTCTGAGGATCCAGCACAGGTGAGAGCCCTTCAGGTTCAAGCCCCTGCCCTGGCTCAGCCGGCCCTGGAGGCGGGGACTCCTGTGCAGGCTGGGATTCCTCAGGTTCAGCCTCTGAATCAGATTCCCAGGCCATCACAGGATCATCTAGTCGAACCACCTGCAATGCAGGAATATGCAGTTGTCCTATACGGGGACTGAACCTGCAACCTTGGCATTATCAGCACCACGCTCTAACCAACTGAGCTATCCAGGCTGATGCGCTTGAGAAGAATGAATCACAAACCTTTGTAATGAAAGATGCTCCATTGCATTTATTCATTTACTTCTCTCACTTCATGGGAGTCTATCAATTTGGCAAGTAGGAATCCACAATGGCCAACTCAAAATGTTAGTCAATCACTTCCTGCCCCTTTCTTCCTCCCATTTCCACCTTAAGACATGATGATAATGTTTTCTTCAAATCTTCTCCTTCCCTTCCCATTCTGTTCTTCCTCTTTACACATGACAGCTCAAAACAAGCACTGCTCCATGTTACTAGTTGCTAGATAATAAATGACAGCATGATGCTTATTGAACTGAATTAGGTCTGATTATGGTAAACAGGCCCATTAGCATGCAAGAAACTGTTCCAATTCACTGTCATTCCCCATGCTCCTGGGGACATTTCTGCCAAAAAATCTAGACTCTGAACTAAAGTAGGGAGGTCTGAACTGATCTATCCTTTTATGTCTTAACTAGACTTTAGGGCAGAGATGGGGGAAATTGTAACTTATGAGCAACCTTCTGGGAGCCTTACGCCAGTAGAGAGTGGGACCAGAGGCAAAAGTAGATGAAACAATGGGTGTGTACAGTACAGCAGGCAACACCAATGTCATGGGTTTACTTACTTACTTACTTACACACACACACACACACCTCTTCATCCTCTACCCAAGGAAGCAATAAGTACAGTGGTGCCCTGCAAGACGAATGCCTCGCAAGACGAAAAACTTGCTAGACGAAAGGGTTTTCCGTTTTTTGAGTCGTTCCGCAAGACGAATTTCCCTATGGGCTTGCTTCGCAAGACGAAACGTCTTGCGAGTTCTTGCGAGTTTGTTTCCTTTTTCTTAAAGCCACTAAGCCATTAATAGCCGTTAATAGCTGCTAAGCCGCTAAGCCACTAAGCCGTTAATAGCCGCTAAGCTGCTAATAGCCGTGCTTTGCAAGACGAAAAAACCGCAAGACGAAGAGACTCTTGGAACGGATTAATTTCGTCTTGCGAGGCACCACTGTATTATTGCTGTTTAAGGACAGATTTCAGCCAAGCCAAATACTCGTTTCTGGACATTTAAAGCATTCCTGACACCAACGATTAAAAACAATCACAGACATATTGTCACGGTTGCTTCATTCGCTGGGCATTTACCATATTTTTCGCTCTATAGGACGCACTTTTTCCCCTCCAAAAATTAAGCGGAAATGTGTGTGCGTCCTATGGAGCGAATGCAGGCTCCTTGGCTTCAGTGATAGCAACGCGAAGCCTCCAAAGCGCAGAGGGAACGCTCTCTCCGCACTCCTTGGCTCGTTGCTTCAGGGATAGCTGCCTGACGCCTTTGGAGCGCAGCGGGAGCTTGTGCTGCGCTCCAAAGGCTTCTGGTTCCTTTTGCTGAAGCCAGGAGAGCAAGACTCTCCTGGCTTCAGCAGAGAGGGAGAGCTGTGCAGCGCCCCTTCAGCGAAGCGGGAGGAGAAATAGAAGGGGCTCTGTTTCTCCTGCTGCTTCGCTGAAGGGGCGCTGAGCAGAGAGGGGTAGAATTTTTTTTTCTGGTTCTCCCCCTCTGAAACAAGGTGTGTCCTATGGTCGGGTGCGTCCTATAGAGCGAAAAATACGGTAGGCGTTCCATGCATGGTTTGCTACAGTTCAAGCAAGTGGAGTGCTGTAGGATTTCATGAGAGTCCGAAAGAGGAGCTGAGCCTTTTGAAAATGGATGGGATTAAAACAACATGCATGTGCCCAGTTTTTATGAACACTGACTCTGTAAAACTCCTTAAGGCAATGTGCCCTTTGGTGGAGGTGGAAGACTCAGCCAAAGCATTAATGGAAGGAAGACTTACTAACCAGAAAATGATTTTTGTTCCATGGTGGGCCAAATTTCACCAGCTTATGAAGTGTTTGCAGAACGTGCTTACAATACCGTCATGAATGTTGTTTCAAATTATTTAAATGATTAAACGATTGGTTAATTCCACAATATGATGGGGGCGGGGAAAAGGATGGCTATAGTAAGGGGTGTAGCTCAGGGTTATATAGAGAGATTTGAGGCCGCATTCAGCTCCCCATCCCTGCTTTAGGGGACTGTTGGGACACATCCCTCAGAAGGGTGGATCCCTTATTGCCCTGCAAGGTCAGGTTCTTCACAGGATAGGGGAGTGAAGAAGCATCTGGATCTCTTCAGGATCATTTTAAGTGAGCTGGTCAAGCCAAGGCGTCTGACCAAAGGAGTGAGACAACACTGCAAGCCAGAGAAACTGGCTGATTTTTGTTCCTGTGGGCAGGTGAGGAAAATGCAACATGAGAAGCAGGTAGTAGGAAGTAGAATCTTATAATAACTACGCAGTTAGGAATACACTGAGGCAAAGCAGACACTGTCAGCTGTGCTCCGTATTTGCTGTGTTCTGCAGACCAAGTCAGCTAACAGAAAACGGAGGTTTGACTGGGGACAAATGGCAATAACCAGTTGCACTGGGCATGGGATGGTGCAAGGCCAGTAAAGCTGATTTGGCACAAGAAGGAGGCCCGTAGTTTTAGACACAGTCCATTTATTTACATACTGCATATGACAAACTCAGAATGCATTATGCTCAAAGCAATTCACAAAGTAGACAGTTTAAGATCAGTGTTTAATAAGTAAACAGAATACACTGCAATATACCATGTACATTTTAGCAATTACGATTTATTTATAACATATCAAAACATACCAACATGTCAGCTAACAGTATCCGGTACCATTGATACTAGCATTGTACCCAAATTAAGGCACCTAGCAATAAGAAAGCTTACCCACACCAAACTAACAGCTAAAAAGGAGAAAAATAATACAAAGAAAGTCAAACTACTCTTTTTTTAATTGAGAAGCAAAGCAGCTAGTAAGCCTGATCTTTATTAAAGCTGTTGCAACAGGGTGCTCCCCCCACACGCAGGAGAGAGGAGGAGAACCCTGAACCATGCGCACAAGCCCTTATATAGACTTTTGAACTCCTCACCCTGGAGCCCCAAACCACCCCTCCATACATCATAAATACATCACAGAAGGGGTGTAGCCCAAGACCACCTCCAGTACATCATACATACATCAGAAGGGACAGTCTAAAACAGAATCCTGAGTGTGTTGTTTATCTCCTGTCTGCCAGGTTACCTGATTGGATTACCTGGGCATCCTGGCCACTCTTTTGTTATGATAACTACCGGTACTGAATTCCTGAATCCAGGCCACAGGCTCACCCTATTCCAGGGGTCAGCAAGGCTTATCGGGCACGCCAGATCACTCCCGCAGAGATCCTCTGTGGGCTGGGCCAGTGCAAGCGCAATGCCGGAAATCGCATCTGCGCATGTCTGCGGCGCTGGAAATTGCTTCTGCGCATGTCCAGACGCTGGAAAGCGCGCATGTGCAGAAGCGATTTCCAGAGCCGCAGAAGAGAGTCCCTGCGCTGCGCTAAGTCAAACTACTCTTAGCCTCTAACCAAGCATGCTACATCACTATGCACAAATGCAACCAAGATGTCCCAATTAAAAGGGACACTTTTTCCAGATGAGGCCCACTCCCCTCACTTGACCCCATCTCTAGCTTTGAAAGAGAAGGCACAATAACCACAAGGCACTTCAGACAACCCACCCTGTAATAGAAGGAGACCCTTTTCTCACCAGGTTCTAGACAGCATAGCACGAGAAGAGGCAAGATGGAGAAAACTTCTCCCCTGCCAAAGGTTCTCACTGACATGTATTAGATGCTCTAGCTCACCCTCACAGTGGTTTTGCTCCCAAAAGATCTGTGGTCTCATCCTGACAAAGAGTTTTTAAGAGGTTGACACTGCATTCCTATGAATGTCTACTCAGAAGTAAAACCTGTTGAGTTCATGGAACTTATTCACAGGTAAGTGTCCAGGATTGCAGCCAAGGAATTGTTCAGCACTGCCTGTTTGGTGATCCTCAGCTCATATTTTCATTGACCTTTCACTTGAAAAAAACAAATACAAAACACCATGTTTGTTGTTTGTTCAAGTTAGTCAATTTATGGTGTTAGGTGAAACTTAAAAAAATGTTGGTGTTATAGAAAGATGATGTTCCCCTTAGCAAGGCAGGAAGTACAGTGGTGCCTCGCAAGACGAAATTAATTCGTTCCGCAAGTTTTTTCTTCTTGCGAGTTTTTCATCTTGCGAAGCACGGTTTCCCATAGGAATGCATTGAAAATCAATCAATGCGTTCCTATGGAAACCGACTTCAGACCAGGTACGGGGACAGTCTGTCCCCCGACCTCTTCTGAAGGCTGGGGGGGGGACAAGGGCTTTTCTTCCCACCCCCAGCATTTTAAAAAACCCCGGGACAGCGGAGACTTCTCCGCTGTCCCAGGGCGATCTTAAAATGCTGGCGGGCGGCAGCGAAGCCTCCGCTGCCGCCCGCCAGCATTTTAAAAAACCCCGGGACAGCGGAGGACTTCTCCGCTGTCCGGGGTGATTTAAAAGCCCCCGGGAAGGCAGGCAGGGGGGAGCAAAGACTTTTGCCCCCCGCCGGCCTTCAGAAGAGGTCCTGGACCTCTTCTGAAGGCTGGCGGGGGGCAAAAGTATTTGCTCCCCCCCCCCCGCCTGCCTTCAAAAGCCGTCCGGGATAGCGGAGAAACGAAGGCTGGCGGCGGGAGGAGGTCTCTCCGCCCCGCCGCCAGCCTTTGGAGGAGGTCCGAGGACAGTGGGGAAGACGCGCTGCGCTTCCCTGCTGTCCCGGAGATTTCCCTATGGGCTTTCGTCTTGCGAAGGAAGCCCATAGGGAAATTTGTTTTGTGAAGCGCCTCCAAAACGGAAAACCCTTTCGTCTAGCGGGTTTTCCGTCTTGCGAGGCGTTCGTCTTGCAGGGCACCACTGTAGGTTGCTGTATAGATAGGGCATTTTTAGGGTCAAATCAAGTCTATTTCAGCATGGCTGATTCTTTCAAAGAAAGGGCATTCTTGCTGATCAGCAGCAAACACCCAAGGTTGTTATGGCTGAAAGGCTACTATGCTGATTTTTAAATCTGTAAATGTAGCAGTCCTTTCATTCAGTAGCTCTGCACCAGTCATGAATGCTCTTATGCTCTCCAAGATGTGTTTCCAAGACTGCTTTGGTGGATGCCTCTAGTCACAACATTTACTGGAAGGTCCAGTACAGTTATTTAAATGAGCTAACAACAGGAGGGATCCATAAATATGACTGGCAGAGTTGACTCCAGTATTCCTTGCTTGGGACTTCAAGAATCACATGGGTTGGGATATGGCCTGGTGAACTATCATCGATTGGGTATGCTCAGCCTACGGCTCCCTGTACAGCAGATGGGAAACTTGTGGTCCTTCAGTTTTCAGGCTACAATTCCAAGATCCCTGAACGTTGGCCATGTTGGCTGGGAATGATGGAGGACCACAGGTTCACCATCCTTCCTCTACAGGCACAGAAGTTACTCTTTTTTTGCTGTAAGTATTAGGAATCTGGCCTCTTGCCTTTACCTGATCAACAGAGGAATAATTTGACCTTCCTGCATTGCAGGCTCTGGCTACCAGCTCAAGCTAGAGAGTTTTCTAAGAACCTTAGCTTGATTGCCTAGATCAGAGTTGAGGAGTCTGTAGCCCTCCAGATGATGACAGACTCCAGTTCCCATCAGCATTATGACTGATGGTCAGAGATTATGGGAGTTGTACTCCAACAACATTGTAAAGATCTATCTTTTTGCCCTGGCTTTCACTGACCCTTAAGATTGTTTTTAATTCCCAGAACTGCTACTTTAGATGCTTTTATACTACTGTTACACTACTGATTTTATGTTGTATTCTTGTTTTAATGATGTACACCAAGTAGATAATAGTTTTAAAATATTAAGTGGTTTATAAATGCTTTTATATAAATGAATGAATGAATAAAACAAATGGAGGGCCCGCTCTAGATTTTGATATAGCTGTCCAGAGCATCAGACTGACCCAAACATTTCTCCAGTATTGAAGTTTTTAGCCCTACCAACAACATAATCCATTGGGTCCTCTTTAATGTTGACAGTGGGGCATTTCAGATCTTCAGAGGCAAGGTTAATATGGTATTCTCAGTAGAAAGAAACATGGTCTCTTCATAACTATCTTGACTGCCTGGATGATGTTGGTTTCATTCAAAAACAATGATGAATTGGTCAATATATTGTTTAAAAGATTTAATTGTACTCTGCTGATACTGCTACTTTGTTTGAGCCAACAGGTCAGTCCATAGTGGGATGCAAAGCTATCTTGATTGATGATCAGGTTTTTGTGGTGGTAGCTCAGCTTTTCGGTGGCTCACACATATATAAGTATGAGGAAGGCTGGACAAAGTTTGTCAAATTCCAGGACATAGAAGTTTCCCGCATTTCAAAGCCGAATGACATAGAACTCTTTCAGATAGAGAGTGAAACCTTTTTTGTCATCGCAGATAGCTCAAAAGCTGGTCTGACGACAATTTATAAATGGAACAACAAGGGATTCTACTCTTACCAATCCTTGCATGAATGGTTCCGGGACACAGATGCTGAGTTTGTTGATATAGATGGAAAATCTCATCTAATCCTGTCAAGCCGCTCACAGATTCCCATTATCCTTCAATGGAACAAAAATTCCAGAAAGTTCCTCCCACACAGTGAGATACCCAACATGGAAGATGTGCTGGCTGTGAAAAGCTTTCGAATACAGGACAACCTGTACCTCTCACTTACAAGATTTATAGGCGACTCCAGAGTAATGAAGTGGAATAGCAAACAGTTTGTGGAAATCCAAGCTCTGCCTTCCCGGGGCGCCATGACCCTTCAGCCGTTCTCCTTTAAGAATCATCACTACCTAGCCCTGGGAAGTGACTACACCTTCTCCCAAATATTCCAGTGGGATAATGAGAAGCAGCTCTTCAAAATATTCAAGGAAATCTACGTGCAGGCACCTCGTTCGTTCACAGCTGTGTCAACCGATAGAAGAGATTTTTTCTTTGCTTCCAGCTTTAAAGGCCACACGCAAATATTTGAACACATAATTGTTGACTTGAGTTTATGAAGGAGCTGTGGGAGGGAGGTGGGAGGGGGCAACTCATGTACAGTGACATTTTCACATAAAAACAAATCAAAAGGGCGGATTACTCATTTCCTGAAGGTAGGATGTGCCTGTGGCATTAGTCAGGAGTTTTCTGAACTTTATAGAAGTTTGCATATTTAATCAGGGATCGCATTAACTTGGTTAAATGCATGCCATGCCCATTTTACCATTGGTAAAGACACTTTAAAGCCTATAATTACTCGGAAAAAGTGTGCAATGCATTAGAATTAATTCTAACACACAGTGGCGTAGCGTGGGTTGTCAGCACCCGGGGCAAGGCAAGTAATTTGCGCCCCCTAACCCGTGGATTTGCGCCCCCTAACCCGTGGATTTGCGCCCCCTAACCTGTGGATTTGCCCTAACCCCAGATGTTGCGCCCGGTGCGGCCGGCCCCCCCTGCACCCCCCACGCTACGCCACTGCTAACACATCTACAACACTGATGTAAAATCGAGAATGGAGATGGGAAACCAAAAGAGGCAGAATAGCCATGCGTAGAAAGAAAAGAAGAGGAAATAACTCCAGTGTGCCAATCCTCCTGTGAGCTGATCTTGGCAGAAACCATATTTACGGACCAACTCAAAAAGCTTGTTTGGGATTTGTAAAAGTTAGCATCGAGATGAAAATGCTGTTACATCGTCTTTGCTTCATGCTGGTCAAGGAAGGCAGCAAGAAAAGGAGCTCTGCTGTTTGGCCTCTGGAGCAACTGTGATAGGAGGAGCCTCTAGAGTCTTTTCAATGCCCAGTCTGATTTAGGGGAGGAGGAAAGAGTGGACATGTGATCTGTTCCCTAAATCTCTCCCAGGCGGCTAGTTCACAGCAGCTCCACATTCAGGACTTCATCTGAACTAATCCAACCCACCTCTGCTCATATTTATGGCCTGACCACTTGTTTTGGAAGGCATACAGCTGCTGCCAATCCACACCTCTCAGATGTTTAGTAAAAGTAGCAAGTGGTGTGATGCCACCACATCCAGCATTTCCTACTCCCCATTTTTTTTAACATTGGCTGTTCCCTCACATGGACCTGGATCTAGCCAAAGTTAAACTTTTCAAAGTACAGTTGATTTCACTGGGACAGAACAACACATGTGCTTCATTCTCCCATTGAAAGACTTGCTGCTTATCTTTGGCAGGATCATGCCCTGTTAATTCTGCCTAATTCCTTTCATTTACTTCCTGATTACTTTGGACAAGGCTCCCAAGATGCGACCACGAGAACTGGTGTTTTGGTAATTTTCACGCTATTGGCCAATTTATGCTTTCAGTTTGTTTAATGCATGCTTAAAAGAATCTCCCGTGCAAAGCTCACACAATCTGAATGGCCTTTTCATTCAAATGCGGACCGCCTGATCAGGAGACAGGGCCACAGAGGTGAAGACTGCGTGCAAGAATCAGCTCAGCTTTCAGCTGTTAAACATTCCGAGATTTATTGTAAAAAGGCTTTGTTTGCATTTAGTTCCCCATATTAAAACAGTCAAATGCAAAGCTGTACTGACATTGAGTGGTTGCAGGATGATGGGGTGGCAGTGGCAGAATCCTATCATTCTTTTTGCTTACAATTATATTATATTTCCCCCGCCTGAGAAAAAAAAAAGTTTATCAACAATTTATACTAATAATCACAATGACAGTGACAACTTTAACCCAGTCCCACTGCTAAAAGACTTAACAAATATAAAAAAGTTCATTATCATACACTACCAAACTAAACGTCTTAATTCTATAACATAGAAGGGACCCCTATTTTCATAAAATCTGACTCCTTTCTGAAGATTGTGAACCAGATTTTGTTATGCTTGTCTGTGCAGAGTCCATTACGGTTAGGTTTGTATTGCAATCTTGCACGTTTTCTAAACCAAAGAGCACCAGTGATAATGTTGGCAGGTTGCTAAGCAAGAGATCAGATCTTCACCTTTATAGACATTAACATGCAGTGAGACAGATTGCTGTATTCCACTCCTCAGCACCATCTTCCTAAAGTACCGTATTTTTTCGCTCTATAAGACGCACCAGCAGTGGCGTAGCGTGGGGGGTGCAGGGGGGGCCAGCCGCACCGGGCGCAACATCTGGGGGGGGGCGCGCTCGCCGCCTCCGGAGTCGCCGAAGAGCCTCGGGCGCAGGCTGTAGCAGAGCCCCATGTCTCGCGGAACCGACGAGCTGGCAGCGGCTCTCAGCGCTCGCCGCGGTCCCCACGCGTCAGGGCCGCGGAGGGCGCGCCAGGCAGCCCCTCCTCACAGCCCCGCCGCCGCCGCTGCTCCTGCAGCTGCTGGGCCATGTTGCATTTTCCTCGCCTCTCTGCCCTCCTCCTCCTCTGGGCAAGCGGCGTCATTTGGGCGGCAGCACCAGCGGCAACTCGCCTCAGATCACCTGACACGGACCCGCCGCCGCTGTGGCTACCTTACCGTAAATACCCCAGCCCAGGCAGCAGCAAGAAGAAGCTGGCAGCGGCGGCAGGTTAGGGGTTAGGGGGCGCAAATTACTTGCCTTGCCCCGGGTTAGGGAGCGCAAATTACTTGCCTTGCCCCGGGTTAGGGAGCGCAAATTACTTGCCTTGCCCCGGGTGCTGACAACCCACGCTACGCCGCTGCGCACCAGACCACAAGACGCACCTAGTTTTTGGAGGAGGAAAACAAGAAAAAAAATATTCTGAATCTCAGAAGCCAGAACAACAAGAGGGATCGCTGCGCAGTGAAAGCAGCAATCCCTCTTGTTGTTCTGGCTTCTGGGATAGCTGCGCAGCCTGCATTCACTCCATAAGACGCACACACATTTTCCCTTACTTTTTAGGAGGGAAAAGTGAGTCTTATAGAGCAAAAAATACGGTAAATGGGTCTTCAGTTTTACCCCCTGGTAGCTGGTGACAACGCAAGAAGAAATATAAATTACAACAGCCCAACTTTTTGGTAAAGGCAAATTTGTGATTGATGGTTTGAAACCTGGCAACCTTTACTAAGGAACACAAATTATCGGGAATAAGTGCACATCATTATATCACCTTAACATGGACTTTTTCAAAAACTGTATTGCAGTTCTGTTTTCATTGCAAAGGTCTGCAACTGCATTGTTTAGAAACAGAGCTTTTCAAATACCCACCACTCTTATTTGTTATGCTTTACATAACATTTCTGCACCGTGTGAGCCAAATCCTCTTTCTCCCTACCCATTTGAGTCAAGCCAGTGAAGCGATGGCTGTTCACATCGGTGTTAAATGAAGCACTGAAAATGTTAGCAGTAGGTCACTCCAGGCAATCCAGCTGTTAAAAAGCTATGAAGATGCCAAAACGAAGCAGCTCCAGTGCATGACTCAAGAATCAAACTTTGTTCAGCAGCGTTTAAAAACAAACGCTACAGATGAGAGAATGCAGGTTGTGGCCTTCATTAATCATAATTAGAATGGACCTGCAGTGTGTGGCGGTTTGTTGTAACCGGCTATGAGACCCTAACAAACAGGTTTCGTTTTTCACTCAGGTTATAAATCAAAGCCATCCTACATAGCAATACCAGTTATTTGGGCCTGCTCCACACTTACTTTCCCTCTGCTCTTTCCAGGCATAGATCGCAATTTAAAGTTCCATTCCAGAGCACCTTCTCCCCCCCTTTTATTTTTTGCTTTGGAGCTTCCTCCATGAAAACCCACTCCTTAAATCTCAATTGGAGCAAACGTCAATCTGCAGAGAACCTAATTTGATGTTTGGTCTGATCCAGCTTTTAAAAGCGGGTTCTTGCAGGGAAAGCGCAGGACAAAAAATAAAATAAAATGTTTGGACATGCAGTGTTAAAAGATGGACCTGTCTGGAAAGAGTAGGGCAAAATATAAGTGTGTATAAGCCCTTTATCTCAACAGCAAAAAAGACTGTGATCAAAAAAAGGCTTGGCCCAGATGATTTGACTTTTCCCCACCATAGTCTATGGGTCGGAAACCACTCTCTTTTTTTATTATTAAATTTTTACAAATTTCTCTTTTACAAATTATTCAAACATTTTCATATTTGCCAAATTACACATTTTTTTACTTCCACCAGCTCCTCCCACAATCCTCATATTTTATATTTATTACGCATTTCCTTTATAATATATTGCGAGTTAATAATATCCTTTCTTCTCATTTTCTTTTACAATACCCTTTCTCATCACAAAGCCTCTTTAAAACCGACTAGCGTTGTCTGTTCATCACAGATATTTTCCAGATAAAGGGTCGGAAACCACTCTCAGGGGTTGGATACAGCAATATCTGGCATGTTACAGCAATAAATATTTTGATCAACGTTCGGAGAAAACAGCAAAGAATCTTTTAACACTGTAAAGATGAGCAGATTTATTGGGAAATAAGGTAGTTCGAAAGCATGTCAAGGTGCAAGTAGATAAATAGGTACCGCTCCGGCAGGAAAGTAAATGGCATTTCCGTGTGCTGCTCTGGTTCGCCAGAAGCGGCGTAGTCATGCTGGCCACATGACCCGGAAGCTGTACACCAGCTCCCTCGGCCAATAGAAGAGAAGAAGAAGAGTTTGGATTTGATATCCCGCTTTATCACTACCCGAAGGAGTCTCAAAGCAGCTAACATTCTCCTTTCCCTTCCTCCCCCACAACAAACACTCTGTGAGGTGAGTGGGGCTGAGAGACTTCAGAGAAGTGTGACTGGCCCAAGGTCACCCAGCAGCTGCAAGTGGAGGAGCGGAGACGCGAACCTGGTTCCCCAGATTACGAGACTACCGCTCTTAACCACTACACCACACTGGCACTGGCAATAAAGCGAGATGAGGGCCGCAACCCCAGAGTCGGCCACGACTGGACCTAATGGTCAGGGGTCCCTTTACCTTTACCTAAGGTTTGTAGACTAGAGAACACTTTTTTCAAATGCAGTTATGGAAACTTATGTCAACAGTCCTAGTAGTATTCAAGGTGCCATAAAGCCGGTGTTTTTTCTGCAACAGACTTAAGACAGCTTCCCCTCTGGAATCCAGAGAATATTTAACAGGTTTATATCCCAGTGGAATCAAAGAGAACCAAGCAATTAATTCTTCCATTCTGTTTATTTCAATGGGCTACATATGTACCCAATTATCTCTGGATTGTAGCTGAAAATTCTCCCTCTGCGCCATTCCATTACAAATTAACTGTGAGACTTTCTGCAATACCCACAAATCATCTTAGAACCCCCTCCCTCCACAATCAACCAGGCTATTTAACAGTACCTCTGGTTGACCTCAGTTTTCCAGTTCATGGAAAGGGAGTACATATGGTCCGCTCTTAAAAAGGTTCCTG